TTAATGACAGTAGCATAGCTGACAGCTGCTATGAAGGAAATTAACTCTATCCTAGACAGGCCTAGTACAGGTGGAACAAACTTTTCAGTTTTTCATCTAGGAGTGGTACTTAGCTGGGGGAAAGGAGGCAATTCTGGCTATAGTGAACTAATTGATAATGTAGAGTACACAAGTTTCTGAATTATATGCAAACATACTCAAGGAGGAGAACAAAACAGCCACCATTGAATTTGGGCTGATCAGTGTTTTAGCTCTCCATTAGCCATTTTAAACTGTCTCTTTTTTTCATGCACCATTAAAGTAGGTCTATATTTCGGTAAGCTAGTTTTCACACTACTAAGTGCAAAATCTCATGGATTTGCATGATCTTTTCTGTATTATTGCAGCCTTGTGGTTGAAAAGAAGTGAGATGGAAGAAAATTATGGGTTATTTCATGTGAAAATAACTGCTGCATTTGCAGAAATTCTATTACACAGCAATACTCTGTATTATTGGGCATGTGAGTCTCTGAGGATACGTATAGCTACTTTCTGTAGTACATAGTATACTAACAGTATATGAAAAAGCAGTTGGCTAGAAAATGTTAGTGAAGAACAATGAATTCTCAAGCTTTTTTTTATTAACCCTTGTGGGCTGTTTTTTCTAGTGCTTACACAGACACTTGACTAGGGAAGGCAAGTTCAGGCCTTTAATCATGAATGCAGCCAGTTACTCACTGAAAATCACAAACAGAGGTCCTGGGGCTAACTGCATGACCAGAAGTCTTTCAGGTATTACAAAATCGATGACAGTAACAATCAATTGTATTTGTTAGATCAGGTATGAAGTAGGATAGCATGCATGGAATCTGAATCATCTGTTTCCATGAAATATACTAGCTTTCAAAAAACCACACCTATTGCATCTATCAGGAACCTTTTCAGAAAATATCTCGTTCTTTCCCTGGGTGTTCAGTTTTATACATCTGAAAAAAAGACCTTCTTTTTAAAATGTTTTTATACCATTAGATCATGTTACATAGAACTTGTAACCCTATGAAATGTAAATCATGGGATACAGAAAGGAAAACAAAGGAAAAACAAGCTGTGAGTAAAGAAAAATATAGTGGTAAGCAATCTGTACCCCACTTACATATTATAGGTATACTAGCTCTGCTAGCTAACTGCTTAGATTCATAGCAGGTTGACAAATTCCTGCTAAACAGGCACATTTTTCCTTTTAACCCCATTTCTTTTCTTATTTTGCACTCCTTCCCCTTATGCCACAGCAAAATTATATTCTATGTCTCTCTCTCTCTCCCTGTGACATCTTCATTGCTGCTTCATTAACCAGTGCACCATCAGTGCATTTCATTACAGCTTCTCTCCTGGCTCACTGTGTTGATGTTAAGATGCAGCTACAAACTGACTATTGAAATGCAAGTCTGTATTTCAATCCTTCCTTCCATTCAAAGGAGGAGGAAGTCATCTCTTTGGCAAAATCCTAAATAAACCCCATATTTTATCTACTGCCCTTACTGGCTCTCCAACCTGAAATGCACTGGGGAGGTATCATGTGGGATGTGGCAGATTTATTTACTTATTTGTTTACTGTGAAATGCTGGGGGCATACCTCCTATCTAATCAGCGTATTAAGACAATTTAGACTGATTTTATGTACACATCTTCAACTGACCTTGAAAAAGTACTGAAGTTAATGAAAGCATGCTTCAACTCCATGATTGTTAGGAAACAAAAAGGCCATAATGTGATAGATATCCTCCGTGATATGTACCTCCAGTTCTATCAGTAGGAAGGGGACATGATTTACGTACTAGCTGGTTTCCAGTGGGTATCCTGGGTTGGGAATACACTCAGTTTATTTTTAAGAGAAGAGAAAGTTATAACTGCAAGTATGAAAGAATCACAAAAATCAGTTCCAGAACAGAGAGGAATAAAACAGGAATATTCAGAACCTCCTATGTAGCCATGAAAAGGGAAATAAACTTGATGGCCTCTTCAGAGCAGTTCAATTGTTAAAAAATGTGGCAGTGTGTCGGGTGCAAATTTTTAGGGGAAATGGGACTAAGGGTGTTATCAGTCCCTTTTCATCTACCCACTTCCCTCCTCTGTCAATTCCAGCCCTCTCTGCTATGCTCCACCAGAGCTCTCTACCAGTGCTGCATGTTAGACAGCTGCAAGGCTGCATCTGTTCTCCATTTCCCACACGATTAAGGCAAAGAGAAAAAATACAAGAGAAATTGCTCTGACACTAAGTTATGTGAAAAGCTATGTCTGAAGTTTATGATTTTGTAGGAAGTTGGTCAAAGATATTATTTTTTAAAAATGTAGGGTATTTTTGATTACTGTTCTTTAAATTGGTGGCCTTATTTTGCTTGTAAATACACAAATATCTTTCTGCCTTGCACAAATCACTGGTTTAGGGAGGAAGGTGTGAGAAAGGAGTGAAGTGAGAAAGGACATACGTCATAGTAGATACAAATAGCAGATCAATAGTAGATCAATAACTAATCTATAAAGGACTGTAAGAAAAGGCTGTGACTTCTCTTGCATTAATTGAGGTACAGCACAAAGGATGTACAGCTACCAATGGAAAACTAATTAAATTTTTCATTATTCTATTAGAGTTGCAACTGAAGGTCCCAGTCAAGAACAGAGACCAATGTGTACTAATAAAAGGAGTAGGGAAATTGTATTACTACGATTAGATTTATGATGACGTGAAGTCTGAGCATGGTCAGGCTGGCACCATCAAGACAGCACCCTGACAGTGGACTCCAGGGGCAGCAAAAACAAATTAATGTGACTCTGATGGTGGAAGTCAGTCACTTTGCAGACAGAACACTCAAGCAAATGAAAAATGGCCACTGAAAGCCACACAGAGACTGGAGGATGACATGGCTGTATACCTTAGTTTTTGTAGTATTTCATTACTTCACTACTCATCACTTACAGGCATTATAACAGAAGTAGATTTCAGGCTGAAGAATAATGTAAATGGCTGGCATTAAATCTGAAGGGTAGTGTAAAAGACTGGTGAAAGAGAATTAAGCAATAACGATTTGGAAGAGAGAGGAAAAGAGACATTTCTGTTTTGTTTTACTGAGTACAGAAATACAATTTAATTTCTAAAAAAAAAACACCCCAAAGATCAAACCCTGTGATTTTGAAATCTGATCATTTTGGCCTCAGGTGCGAATGATGGGTTTTGTATTACGTATCTCAATATATCCTTTCTTTCTTCTTCCCTTCCTTCTTTTTCAGGTTACTTGTGCAAATTTAACAAATGGGGGAAAAACAGAACTAAAATCAGGAAGCTCCAAATCCACACTAAAGCATATATGGACAGAAAGTAGCAAAGACTTGTCCATCAGTCGACTGCTGTCACAGACTTTTCGTGGAAAGGAAAATGATACAGATTTGGACCTGCGATACGATGCCCCAGAAACTTATTCTGAGCAAGATCTCTGGGACTGGCTGAGGAACTCCACGGATCTGCAAGAGCCTCGGCCCAGAGCAAAGAGACGGCCCATCGTCAAGACTGGGAAATTTAAGAAAATGTTTGGCTGGGGTGATTTTCATTCCAACATCAAGACTGTGAAGCTAAATCTCTTAATAACAGGGAAAATCGTTGACCATGGCAATGGGACTTTTAGTGTTTACTTCAGGCATAATTCCACTGGTCAAGGGAATGTATCTGTGAGCCTAGTGCCCCCTACAAAAATAGTGGAATTCGACTTGGCACAACAGACGGTGATTGATGCCAAAGATTCCAAGTCCTTTAACTGTCGAATTGAGTATGAAAAGGTTGACAAGGCTACCAAGAACACACTCTGCAACTATGACCCTTCAAAAACCTGTTATCAGGAGCAGACCCAGAGCCATGTGTCATGGCTCTGCTCCAAGCCCTTTAAAGTAATCTGTATTTACATTTCCTTTTATAGTACAGATTATAAACTAGTACAGAAGGTGTGTCCTGATTACAACTACCACAGTGACACGCCCTACTTCCCATCAGGGTGAGGACCAATGTGTGTCTGAGACTCAAGCCTGGGGAATAAAAAAGGTTGTATGACAGGGCTGTAACCTCAAGGAGGAAGGCCACGTCTATTGCCTGGAATGTGTCTACCTGCTGCTGATGTTAAATGGCTGCAAATATATTAGTGGAAAACAATCTAATGTAATTTTTGCCCAGTCAGCTCCATGTATCAATCTAGTTGTAAATCATTATGGATTTGAAATAAAACCATTCACATACAAAGAGACACGCTCTTTCAGCTCACACCTATTGAGATTCCTGTTAAGAGAGCTTTCATTGTCTGATATCTAAGGTTTCAGGATAACCTATCATCAAGCAAAATGGATTAACTAAACAGAGAATGCTTTCTAACTCAGACTGTCATGGAAATATCTTTGAAAGTCCTTTGAGTACACACCAATCAATAAACCCCACTCATGTGTTCTACTGCTTGGAGTAGCTGTACTGGTAAATAATACTGTAGGAGTAAATACTTATTAACATGGGAAAAATTTGTGTCTAGATTTCAGTATTCCTTCTTATATGAACACAGCAAAGCATCGTGACTTTTTTCCAGCATACAGTAGGCACATTCGAGGTGGTGTCAGGTGGCTCTTTTTCCATGGAGTGATCCTGTTACTAGTAAAGATGGGCAAACATTTGGAATTTACATGTGGGCAGACATTCTGGTTTCATGTTTCTCTGATTCTTTAAGCTTTGATTCTTTAAACGTGGTTGAATTTAGGCCACCTAAGCTACTTAGGAACTATCCAACTCTCTAAGAAGGAAAATGCCTGGTGGAGAACATGTAAGTTATAAGTGGGTGTCTTATCTTTATTACAAAATATTGTAACAAATTCAATATACTAGTCTTCATTTGTATGAATGGTTTGTATTGTACATAATTTAACTGGTGTTATTTGAGCTGCTTATTAATATTAACTTGTAATTGTCTCTCTGCTTGTTATTGGTTAAAAACAATCAAGGAAATGAGGAATCCATTTTATCAGTGTAGCTGTAAACTCCATGAAAAGACAGAACTATGTACAAAGCATTTATTCAGTTAAAGTATTGTTGAAAGCTATACATATACAACATTACAGTCTGTCTGTATTCTAGATTTTATTTCAAAAAGAATTAACCGTACATAAAAATAAAAAATCTTAAAGTTGAGTTTTGATATGTACTGTGTAGATAGTAGTCTAAATGATTCTGACAAGTGAATAACACTCGAAGTTTGACATAATTTTCAATCTTCTCTCTCTGCATATGTACATATATATACATACATTTATAAATTTATGTGTGTGCATGTTTGTATGTGTATGTGTGTGTGTGCAAATACATGTAGACATATATGTAAAACATATAAAAATTACTTGGGCCCTATTCCTAGAAAGCAGTTCTTATTACTGAAAGGTCTTGCTAACTTGAGTGGAAGCTCCCACTCAGATAAGAAATTAAAGGAGCAGGGCTTTGTTTAAAATGATTTGTTATCATTTGGAAGTGGGAAACATAGAGCCACCCTCTGTGTACACAGGCCTGTCTTTGCCTTAATTCTTGCCTCCCCTGAGGCACTGATCTCTATGGAATGAAGAGATTCCTTTTTATGGTACAAGGGAATTTTATTCCTATAAGCAAAATGCTTGTAGGTTTTATACACTTTTTTGTTATCTGTGTATGGTGTCATACTATAACCTGAACATCCAGTTAACCAGCAACTATAACAATTCCATATAGAGAAGAAGGTCACCCAAAGAACTCGATATTTCCTGTCATAACTTTAAGAATTATCATTCCTGTCAACGCTTTCTTCACCCTTCCACCCTCACGCCCAGGTTCTGTGCTTTTGTGTCAAAGCTGTAAATGCAGATGAGTCAGCTCCCAAATACACATGACATCCTGAACAGTTTCTCCAAAGTCCCAATAAAGACTCCACTAATGTTCCCAGAAATGAGAAATTTGAAACAACTTCCAGTTGTGGACCTCTCTTGCTGAGATGTGCAGAACCTAAATGAGAATGAAACAAAGCAAATGGACATTATTGACAAGTAAATATTTTCCTACTGACGTATGAATGGGAGAGGAGACTTCCGTGTTATTATTGCTTTGGCTTCTTTGAACAGATACGCTTGTGGGAATTTCTTCATTATATATGACATTTCCCAGGACAAACTTGTGACCCTGGACCCTGTACAGATTTGTAGAAAGAAATTGTCTAAGGCATACAGTCCAGATTCTGATCTCATTCAGATGAGATTTTTTTTTTTCTTTGATCGGAATTGTGATTATACTGGTAGTATTTCCTCATTTGTGCTCTTAACTGTTCTGAATATAAACCTTAAAGTAATTTATGCTATGACCAACAGTAAAATTTTGACTCTGTTAAAGTCAATAGGAATTTTGCTATTGACTTCAATACAAAATTCAATTTAATAGTATGTAGAATTCTAGTGTTAAATATGATCAGCAGTCTTAGCAAACTGTATTAGTCAAGCATTACGTGCTTTATATTCTCATTTGTATTTCTGAAAAATAGATGTAAAGTACTTAGTGGTACAGTTTCATTATTTTCTTCCTTTTTAAAAAAATCCCATAAATATATGAAGTATATAAATTCTGTTAATATAAATACCATTATCCACTTTTCAAGTAACATCAATACAAAAAGGAATTATTCATCATGCAATGGTTCTGATCCTTTTAATTGTGGTAGTTGGTACTCTATCTGCCTCTGTCATGGTTAGTCATATTATTTTTTAGTCTTAAGCCTTTGAAGAATTTATTACTCTTCATAAAAATTCTTGAGTTTGAATTTGGAAGGGTTATTTTGGTGATCTTGTGAAACTGGTCTAACATGAAAATGCGTAACGTATTACTTAGGTGCTAATTCATTACATTTCTTTCAATCTCTTTAGGAAATAGTTCATGTTTACTGACTTTGTTAAATAGTGGTTTTGGTTCTGCCATTTGAAAAAGAATTTAATGAACACAAATGTGTTAATTCAGATAAAAAATGTATTTATAAATATTGGGTCTTGCACATGAGCAATGCCTTTATGGAGTGCTAGGCCAGGCAAATGTTGCCTCACTTAATTTATAATTCTATACGTAATAAAGATGTATATTTCCAAAAGTATATTTTTAGGGTTAAAGAAGGTTGCGTTATTTATTTTTAGTAAAATTTAATAACATTTTTAATTAAGAAATGAAGAGACTAGTTTTGTTCACTTTCAAAAAAAACAGAACATTTAAAACAGCCTTGTTAGGGTCTAGAGAATAAGTCTCATGAAGAGTGGCTGAGGGAACTGGGGTTGTTTAGCCTGGTGAAAAGAAGGCTGAGGGGAGACCTTATTTCTCTCTACAACTACCTGAAGGGAGGCTGTAGAGAGGTGGGAGTCAGTCTCTTGTCCCTCTAGTAAGCAACAGAAGAAGAGGAAATGGCCTCAAGTTGTGCCAGGAGAGGTTTAGAATAGATATTAGGAGAAATTTCTTCAGCAAAAGGGTTTTAAAGCACTGGAACAGCTTGCCCACAGAAATGGTGGAGTCACCATCCCCGGAGATATTTAAAAAATATGTAGATGTGGCACTCAGGGACATGATTTAGTAGTGACTTGACAGTGCTGCATTAACTGTTTGACTTGATCTTGCACATCTCTTCCAACCAGAACAATACTATGATTCTATTTAAAGCATACTATTTGTCTTATTTTCTCTATAATACAGAAGTCACAAATAGACATATTCTAAGGAAAACAATTATTCCTTTTGCAAAAATACATGGATTATGCACTTGAGCAAAGATCAATGTATTAAACTTGCCTTGGGTGGGTCAGTGGTAGAACTTATGTGTCAGCTTCTGGGCTTTTGGTAAAAAGAATACAGGGTGTAAGAAACAGGTGGCTTTACATTGCAGAAATCACTAATCAAAGTTATAAACAGTAATGGAAAGCTGGAAGACTTTCACTGGTTAGTTTTATCAGAATACTTCAGCATGGGAGAGAAAAGACACTTCCTTCTTTATGAAGTCACTTGTAAAGTTTTATCCCTTTCTTCCTCTTTCCTAAGTTTGCATGGATAGGAAGCAAACTAATAAATTCATCTGTAGAAAGACCTTGTCTTTCAAAGTTTCCATTACTGAAAAATATGATGTTGGAAAATTTTGAGATTTACTGTACTAATTTACAATGAAAAAAGAAACATTCAAATTCAGTTTCTAGAAGAACAGAATGGAAATCTGTTCTGGTGCATGTTAGCCTAGAGATTCAAGGAATACCACTCAAGGGTTTTAATCTGAGGGCAGTTTTACTGTAATTATATCATTACATTTTCATGCATTCTGAACTGTATGCTATAACTTGGAATCTTGTAGGAATATCGTAAAATATTCTGAAAACAATGTGTTAGAGAATTGTGGGGGAAAACAGGGATTGCAAAATATTTGCTGCTTTTACAACCTAACTAGCCTAAAGCTTAGGTAACTGAGTTGAAGAATTATTCTTCATTAGAAGACACTGAATTACAGCCTTAGCATCATACGGGTCCTTCATGTCCTGTGACAGAGCTGGTCAAATTGCATCTGACTGCATCTAGAAAAGGATAAGAATCTTGTTTCTAGTGATCTGTACTTAACTGTGTGTATAACATTGCCAGAGACCTCAAGTGGCTGCATCAAGATCTGTTGTGCTGGGAGCTGGATAATACATAAATGTATACAATATCTATTCATAAATAGCTTTGATGGCAAGAACTCCCAATTCTCCAAAAAAACCCATTTTACTACAGAGTTCTTCTAAATAATGTATTTATGAATTTGAATTTGAGTCATATGTTTATGAAATTAGTCTTTTTTTTTTTTTAAATATTCATAGTGCTCAAAAAAGTAGTATTTTAAAATACTCATATGTGCATCAAAAAAAACCCAAAAGCATTCATGACCCTTAGCAAAACTTCTGATTCCACTCTATCAGTCTGGAGTTCATGAGAATTGAAGCAACTGATTCATTCTGCACATGTTTTAGAAAATAGAAATCTTGATTATTATTTATATTGAAGTTCTTTGATGAGATACCCTGTTACCACTTTAATGTATGAATATGAACACTATTTCTAAGAACATTTTGACTGTGAAAGCACAGGCTATTGCTTAATAAAATGTTGGGTTTGTTTTTTGTTGGTTTTAATCTATTTAATTTTTTTTAAAATTAAGAATGAGCAATATCTTACTGAAATTATGCTAAAATCCACAGATTAATTCATTTTCTAGATAAATTTGAGAAAGCCAGTATCTATGGCTAAGGTTAAAACTTTCTGCTGTTTGTGAAAGGAGCACTCATTAAAATTAAACTGTCATTTGTAAAGACACAGTACCTTGCAGGACTCTGGGAATATTGTGTTTCCTTCGCTAGTCTGTACCTGACAATATGATATAATACAAATAATAATATTCCTCCAAAATGGTTGATGCATCCTATTGCTAAAAAGAAAATATTTTCATTCTTTTCTGTATTGCTTGCTAGTTAGTAAAAGTACGATCATTACCCAAACTAACAATGACACCACTTTGTTTTGTACAGTTTATTTTTTCATTGGAATATAATACTTATATAATATATACATTTTTTTTTTTCTTCTATTTGTAGGCACAGCTGGTGGATCTCTGTTTCAGACTGGACTGATGTCCTGTGCATGATATACATAATTTTAAACCCTTTATCTTAGCCTGCCTTTAGAATAAAGAAGCAAATGTAGCTCTTTGTAGGTGCTTTAAGTCAGGAGCAAAGCAAAGATTCGTTTGAACTTTCACGCTAAGAGAGCTATAGTCCCATTGTCAAAGAGAGGATTTGAGAAGACTGGAGCATGTGAGATTTATTCCTAGTTCTAAGTGTACCTCAGTCATGTAGCAAGTAGAGATATTGTTATGAGGTAAGGCTTTAGTGGTCTGTGAATTGAACTTCTTCCTGTTGTTAAATAGAATTTAGAGGGACCAAAAAAAATAATTTAAAAAGCTGGAACAGTTTATACGCAACAGTGAAAATGTGGAAACTAGCCATTTCAAAAAATGAATCATATACTTTGTCAAATATTTTGTGGAAGGGTTACTGAGTTCTTGGAAAAAAAACCAGTGTATATACAGGTCATCACAGAAAACAAGCAAAACCCGGGTTAGCAGAGGCA